CCCTGAGACCGGCTCATCGAACCCCTGAGACCGGCTCATCGAAGCCCTGAGACCGGCTCATCAAACCCCTGAGACCGGCTCGAACCCCTGAGACCGGCTCATCGAAGCCCTGAGACCGGCTCTAGGGGTTCGATGGAACCCAGGTCACTGTTATAAAGAATGCACTCCGACAGGGTTTGTCGTGTTCTGCAGGAGGTCACGCTGACACCTTGTGGAGGAAAGGAGAACTGCACGCTCATTCTTTATGAACCCATGAGTCTGTAGAGGCCTGTGACGGACTGGTTGGATGATTCTGTGGATCCGTCTTGTCTCTCTGATCCATGCACGTGTTTCTCACCTGGTTTCTCCTCCAGTCTTCAGTTCTGGTTCCAGCAGGAGTCCAGCTGAGGTATTCCAGTCAGGTGTGAAGGTTCAGTCTCACCTTCAGTCAGTTAAAGTCTGTTTTTAATCCTGAAAGCAGCACAACAATGAACAATGAACATCTTACCTGTCACAGGTATCGATGAAGGAGCTCAGAGATTAATTCTGATCTGTCCAAGTGGGGCCAAGACCAGAGTAGATTAGGATGAACTCCTATGAATTCTTAAAAACACACTTTTAGAAACAGCATAAATATAATTCATCACATCAAATGATACAGTGTGTAGAGAAATATGCAACTAGAATGCATTGATTAAATATTTGCAATAATTATACTTTGTCCAAATATAATATTACTGTATATAATAATAATAATAATAATAATAATAATAAATTATTATATAATAATATATTTTATCTAAGGGTCATTTGAATTAAATATTTGTAATGTAACCGTAAAAAATATTTTGAAGCACTTTTTGAGCATTAGCAACAAAAACTTTACTCTTATTTTTTTCTTTTTCCCTGCAAACAAGCATATATTTTTTCTTTCCAACTGTTAAATCTTAATACCCAAATATTGGCTGAGTTTTTTTTTCTTTAAAATGACATCAATATGCGTATAATTTTAGCTGTAATTTAAAGCAGAATACAGTGCGGCTCGAACACGGCTAGCTGCATTGGAGCACTAGCGGTTGCTATTGTCCAGGATGATGATGTCATGCACTCCAACAGAAAAGGCTGCGTTCCATTCCGAAATACCTAAACGTGAACTTCAACATTTAAGGTTTAACTTTTACATTTACACTTAAACATTTAGATCTTAAAATTTCATATTTAAAGGCACAGTGTGTAGGATTAGTTGTTTTCAGTGACATCTAGTGGTTGAGTGGTTGAATCATCCTCCCTGGTCCTCCCCCCACCCCCACCCCCCGCTTCCAAACACAAAGGAGTTTCTACGGTGTCTCTCAGGGGTCAAAAACCTTTGATAATTCCAACCACGATGTCTACCAGCAGCTTCAGGGCTAGTGATGTTTCAAGTGGTAAGATTATGAGCTTTAAGAAGTAAAATTATCCCAGCTACAATGACAGACAACAAATATTACATTTATAGTTTTACAACTAAAACCGTTTTTGACGCCGCCACCGCAGTTTGTCCTTCATGAGCCTTCGTAGACAAGATGGCGGCTGCCTGTAGTGGTGACCCGCGACCATGGAGATATAAACAGCTTTTTATAAGGTAAAAATAATAAAACAAGGTCTTTGTCTGCAATGATTAGACATGTTTTTATTATTGTCATTAGTGATTATCTCAATTTCAGCTAAAAGAATTGACAAAATCCTACATACTGTGTCTTTAAGCATATATTTTTTTAAATTTAATTTCAACATTTATTAAAAATTAGCAAAATGTAAGAACAGTGAGATAAATAACAATAAAATAGTGGAAATTTTTTAATACTCAAAAATGAGCTAAATAATGAAAAATGTGTTAGTGACATTTTAGAGTATTTTATTTTACTCTTGACACCCCACAGCTGTAATACTGCGTTCCAGTTGTTTCAGAACTTGAAATCCTGAAGTCGGACTGACGTCATTTCTGAGCTGATAGTGTTCCAGTTTCAAACATCGGAAAAAGTGTTTCTATTATTTTGCTCAGCAACAATAAAACGTACAATAATAGTGCTCTACGAGGTATTTTGAGTGTACAAACAGTGTTAAAACATACATTTTAACTATCACTATAAAGCACTACAAGTATGTCTGACATAATGTAACATAAACAACACAGAACAAATCCACGTTTGTTTACATGCAAGACTAGCAACGTTAGCGGTTAGCTCGGACAAGCATGCTAGTACGCTACATACATTAAACAAATATAAAACGGGAAAATAAACAAACAAATTACACTCGTTTTTATCCTGCCTCCTCTCTTCTTACTTTCTGTCTGTTAAATAGTGGGAATGGTGCTTGTGTACGTTTGATTACAGCTCAACATTAGCCGTTAGCTTAGAGAAACATGCGCGCAGCAGCCATGTTGAAACGATGACGTAACGCATGCTCGGGTATGGTTTGGATGCTCCAACCTCCCGACTTGAAACTACGACTTCAGGAGGCGTTCCAGTTGAAAACCAGAACCGAGGCTCGAAGCTACGACCTGCGAGGACAACTGGAACGCAGCGTTAGCCAGGCCTTTCACTGAAACCAAGTCACATAAAAAAATTTGTTTTTGCCACTTTTCTTTTTGCTGGATTTGAATATCCTTTGGTCTCTCTGCCCCCTTCCTTTTCACTTCCAGGTGAGAAATTAAATAATCCACATCGTTTATGTTAATCTTACTCGCCATTGTGCCGACTCAGTCTGGCTCGATCTTGGTAAGATATTAAATCCAGGTTTGTGTCTGGTAGTAGCTGAGCATCATCAGGCTGAAACATTATGTGAGACTGAGCTTAATATTATTATCAAGGTTTGATAAAATGATCTTAGTCTCTGATGTGAAAGGTGGAGATGAGCTCACAGCTAATCTGAGTGCAGCTCAAAAAGCTACCTAGTCCAGGTAAGATATTTATTGTTCATAATCTTCAGAATAGACCTGAGTTGTTTCTGGAAAGTGGATGTCCAGCTGCAGGTAAAACATTCAGGATGAGGAGAGATTTTCATGTTTAAAGAGCAGCATGGGTTAACTTTGAAAGCCAACTTTTATTTCCAACTCTCAATGCGTCAGTGCAGTTCTGTTCCCAGTATTATTTATTTTTTACTTTGTGTTTAATGTGTTTTATTATTTGAGCAGAACTGGAGGTTTAGTTCAGCTCTGTGTAAATAACAGCTGATGTTTGTTTGTTTTTGTGTCAGTCTGGCAGACAGAGCCTGATGGAGGGGGCGGGGCTTCAGTCACAGTGACGAGAGCTGAAAACCAAGCAGCTATTTGAAGGTTTTCTCCTCCTGGCAGTGATTCTTTGAAGTGAGCAGCAGAGGGTGTTACTAAGCTGCAGTGAGCGACAGCTTCCTGTCAGACAATCCTATGCAAAGATTCAAGCTCTCACCTGGGCTCAGGCTCTCAGGTGACAGGTTTTTGTAGATTTTCAGGCTTCATGTGTTCATTTCTTGTGTAATACTGATGACAGCAGTCCAAGACTCAAATCTGTCTTTGTTTTCACACTATTTCACAACTGTACCTGAAGTGATCTATTGTAAAGAAAAGCATATATATGGATAGTAAACAATCATATTTATTATTATTTCCACACATCTGTGTTGTGAGTTTTCCTCTGCCTTAACTGTAGAAGAACAGGACCTGTCAGACACAGCAGGCAGGTTTGATCTCATCAACACACCGGTAGATGATGAATGTGTTGCTGCTGTACAGTAGAATGAAAGAAAGACCACCCTCTGGGACCACCCTGTGCTCCGGTCTCAGCGTGGTCACATGTTCCACTCTTTAGATGTTTGTGCCTTTTATCTTTTTCTCTTTTTAAACTAAACGTGGGAGAAAAACACAAAGCAGCCCAGGTACGAGCCCACAAGGTTCAGGGAAGGAACGCTTACGTACTCTATCAGGAAATACTAGGGATGTGTTGGGTAAGTACTGAGTACATACTGTAGTAATTACTGGGTACATATCTGGTGTGGATTGGTAAAGTGTCATGTATGTACTGGGTATTTACCTGGTATTGACTGTAGTGAGTACTTGGCGTATACTGTATGTACCAGGTACTTATGGTGTACACAGGGGTCTTCAACATTGGGGTCACGAGCCAAATTGGGGTTTTATATTTTTGATTAATTATTTTTAATGCATTTTTCTTTCAAAGTTCTGTATTTAAACACATTCACATGGATCCTACATAAATAAAATAATGTATTTTAGTCTGAAATGCACACATTCACTAGCTGTGTTTCCATTACAAATGTGCACAAAACTTTGTTGATATTCTGTTAATGTTGAAAAAACACAGTTTCACAGCTGCAGTGTTTCCATTAAGTAATAAATGTT